TCTCGGGTTCGAATCCCCTTCACACCAAACATGCCAACCTCCGCCTTTGCCTGGTCCCAAGTCCAGGATGAGAAAGGAGGAGTGTTGGGCGTGGGGCTAGCAACTCCACCCCGTAAAAACTAACCTGCTACAAGTAACTGCAACAACACCTTCCATTGGCGAGGTGTTGTTGCGGCCCTATTCTCCACTGGGAGTTTACAGGAATAAAAAAAAAAAGAAGTCATCCTTGAGTGGTCACATGCACATGATTTTGTATCAATCAAGTTTTTTTTAAATGTCTCACTTTTATGAACTATTTACATAACAGCTAAAACAGTAAGAGAAAAGTTGCATTTGATTTTATTTACTTTAGTATCGAACTTTGGGTTAATGTCTTTAAAATAAATCATGTTTTCCTAGTTGTTAATTGATTAGTAGACAACACAGATTATGAACACCTGTGGTTATTTAAATTTACGTATAATGTATAACAGTGTAATTAGATAATGTTTTATCACATATAAAGTGCTGACCTCTTAATAACGGTCCACGGGTATCCACCTTCATTAGTTAATGCTCACAAAGTATTTAAATATGTTTAAGTGTGTCTATAGAAAATGACAGGCTAAGCTTCAGGACAGAGTTTATGTATGGCTCAATAGGTAGGTGTAATAGATCAGAAGAATAACTAAGTAAACTTAGTGTCATTTCAAGACGAGAGGAGTGGATTTATTCTCCAGCATTCTTTAATTTTGCTACTTCTTCCTTTGTGTCTCAACATCAAAAAATACACAACAACGTTAAATTCTTTCCCATATATCCGGGTACATGACCACTAATGTGTTAACGGTAGCAGGAGATGTCCTCAACTTGATGATAATGACTTCCCACATTGGGAGTTCTCTTTTGTAACTATAGTCTTCACTTTGTGGATGAGGATGTTCTACAAACTTTATTCCTTTAGATTTGTTTGTTTTTAAGTTAAGCACAAAGCTATACAATGGGCTATCTGTGCTCTGCCCACCACGGGTATCGAAACCCGGTTTCTAGCGTTGTAAGTCCGCAGACATATCGCTGTGCCACTGGGGAGGGGGCTCGTTGCTTTGGAAGGGCTGCGACACCATTACCTCAACAACAAAGCTGGAAGAAGTCCACTAATAGTTTAACAATGCAACAACAGTTGGTAAATCCTCAAGATTTTGTTCTCTTTCAATCCTCACTACTACTTCTTGTGTTAAATTTGTATCTCTCATGTTACAAAAATATTAGAAAGATGTTTTTATTTGAAATATAATTGCACTTTATCTCCAAAACTGTAAATCACATACATATAGTATTACAATACTGCTCCAGCCTTTTCTCTTGTTTTTAACGTATTTTAATATATTCTACATGAAGCTAATTTCATTATACATTCAGATTACGAAATCTTTTTATTTTACTTACATTTATTACATAAGTATTGATAAAATTTTCAACACATAGTTTGCAAAAAACATTTCGTATTAAATGAGAACAATAAGTACGTGGAAGAATATATATACATGTGCGATTGAAAGAAAAAAACAGTCATTTATTTTCATTCAGTACAAAGCTTTCTTGGTAACAATTTATACAAGTGAATGCATGGAGAACAGGAACAACAAATGAACAACAAAAATTGACAACTGCAACAAATGAACAACAAAAATTGACAACTGCAACAAATGAAATCTCATTCGAGGGTTATCTCTTTACGTATATTGCAGGGCTTCTTTTCTCATGTCCAATTTCGTATTTAAAAAAAAAAATACGGCCTGATGTCTATATCAAGCAGAAAACACACGTGAATGCACACTGCTTAATTAGCTAACTTCTAAAAAAAAAAGACTAAGGGAGTGTCTTTTAAAACACGTGAAGTAAACGATCGATTTTTTGGGAAAATAATTACTTGTACTTTTTTAAAAAAAAGTCGATAGGAAGAAAAGAAAAGTCAACATTTAAATTCTTTCTTACTGTAAAGTCGTTGAAATTTGAAAGAAACGCAAGCTGAAGACTGATTAAAATTAAACGTTTATTTACTATTAAAGTCATCCTTCGATTAAAACGATATCACAAACATGCGGTTCATGCATGTTCCAAATAACCTGTGAATGTTCCATCAAGCATACATAGAAATACAATAAAAGATAAATACAACCGTGGTTAAACTCATTTACATGCTTGAAAATGTACAAAAAAAAAGATGAAAATGATGTAAAATCTTGCTCTAATCTATGTTTTTGAGTGAAAATCATTTCCCCAGTTAGTTAGTATTGCAGTTTTACAAACTATCCCAAAGCTCAAAAAAGTAATTATTTGATAATGGGGAACATAGAAGACGCTTGAAGTAATATAATGAACGCTGTTTTGTTTTTACAGATTAAACATAACGTCGTGTATATTTCATTAGTTGCGAATAGGCTGTAGCTAGTTGGCTAAGCAATGATATAATGTATTGTCTACGTTCTCTTCAAAAATAAAATTACGCTCTAGATAGAATTATTACCAGAATATTAGAATACGGTGTTCGTATATTAACCAATTAGTAAAAATAAGAATACGCTCTAGATAGAATTATTACCAGAATATTAGAATACGGTGTTCGTATATTAACTTATTAGTGAAAATAAAATTACGCTCAAGATAGAATTATGACCAGAATATTAGAATACGGTGTTCGTATATTAACTTATTAGTAAAAATAAAATTACGCTCTAGATAGAATTATTACCAGAATATTAGAATACGGTGTTCGTAAAAATATACTTCGAAATTTACTCAATATAACGTACAAGATACATTTTAAAATAGTTAACGTAAACAATGAGGACGGAAATACGCTTAGTACGCTGGATCATATGCATTGTTTATAAGTTTACAGATAATAATAGAGAATACAAACAGTTTCGGGGAGTTGGTTTAACATTTTTGTTTGGGTTAAAGGCCAAAAATTGTCTATTGAGGTGTCACCAACCGCTGAACATTCTACTGAAGATCCATCTTTACACAAACAGTTGTTTTTCCTTGATAGCGTGAGTATGTGTATGGAGTTAGTATCTTTTTGAACTGTGTTTCTATCTGTAAAAAATCAAATAACAACTATTTGTAAAAGAAACCAAATCAAATGACAACCAATCAATTTAGATCACTTTATCATGTCTATAAAAAAATCAAATGAATAACAAACAGTCAATTTAGATTTTAAAAAAATTCCCCCCCAGCGGCACAACGGCATGTCTGCAGACTTACAACGCTAAAAATCGGGTTTCGATACCCGTGGTGGGCAGAGCACAGATAGCTGATTGTGTAGCTTTGTGCTTAATTACGAACAAGTAGGTTATCTTTATCACATCTGTAAAAAACCTCAATCAAACAACCAATTTATGCCATTTTCATCACGCCTGTAAACAATCAAATCAAATAACAAACAACCAATTTAGGCAATTTTATCATGTCTGTCAAAAAAATCAAATCAAATAATAACCAATCAATTTAGACTATTTTGTCATTTCTGTATAAAAATCAAATTAAATGTTTGGTTTGTTTCAAATTTCGCGCAAAGCTACACGAGGGCTATCTGCGCTAGCCGTTCCTAATTTATGAGTGAATGACTAGAGGAAAGGCTAGTGATCACCACCCATCGCCAACTCTTGGGTTTCTCTTGACACGGGGATTCGAACCCACGGTCCTCAGATTGTAAAGTCGAGCGCTTTAACCACCTGGCCATGAAAATCAAATAACAAACAAAAAACTTAGACCATTTTTCTCATGTTTGTAAAAGTAATCAACTCAAATAACAACCGACCAATTTGGACCAATTCTTTCACCTTTCTACAAAGATGATCCATCATGTACGTGTCTGTGTGTTAGCATCCATAACTCAGGGTTGGCAGACTGGATTACCATAATTTTTTTGTATGATAACTGGAATCTGTTCGACAGTGTGCATGGGCTATTTATGCTTTAGAATTTTCCCCGAAAACGGGGATAAAATACACCCTGAAATAGGGCAAATTTTCACTTTTAATAGACTTGTGGCTTTAAATTTAGTACCTAATCAATTAAATGAGTCAAGAATAACCTTCCACAAAGCACGTTATGCAATTAGCAATGAGGTCATTAGGGATTTAACAACAAAACAAAGACGGAAGGGAAACATTTTCCTTTTTACATTTTTTGCTTCCTTAATGGGTAGTCTGAGTTAGTAAAAATCAAATTAACTAACAAAGAGCCCATTTAAACCATTTTTTTACAAACAAGTAATCCATGTCTATATAAATTTCCAATGTTGAGACCCGGTTTAGTAGTAGAAAATTATAACAATTCACACTTTTTTCTCAACACTTACTTTGCTCGTTCATTTCTAGCAGGCATTAATAACACTGTGGCATGGCCAGGCTCGACTCGCAATCTGCGGGTAGTGGGTTCGAATCCCTGTCACACCAAACATGCTCGCCCTTTCAGCCGTGGGAGCGTTATAATGGGACGGTCAATCCCACTATTCGTTGGTAAAAGAGTAGCCCAAGAGTTGGCTGTGGGTGGTGATGACTAGCTGCCTTCCCTCTAGTCTTACACTACTAAATTAGGGACGGCTAACACAGATAGCCCTGGTGTAGCTTTGCGCGAAATTCAAAAACAAACAAACAAACAATAACACTCTGTCTACGAATATGCGATAGGCCCTGGAACTATACATATACCAATAGTGTCTGAAAAGTCGTCAAGTCTTCAGTTCGCTCATTATATACATTAGTTTCATAGTTCTGAGTTCTAATTGCTGTTTTG